GCGACAGCTCACTCAGGATGATCCTTTCCAGGTCCCACCATTTACTTGCAAATTTCATGATTTCCTTATTTTTCATTGCTGAGTAATACTCCAGGTATAGATGTACCACAGTTTGTTGTTTTTTAACTTCTGGAGTTTTTATATATTCTGGATATTAGCCCTCAGTCAGATATAGGGTTGGTGAAGATCCTTTCCCAGTCTGTAGGCTGTTGTTTTGTTCTGATGACAGTGTCCTTTGCTTTACAGAAGCTTTTCAGTTTCATGAGGTCCCATTTACTGATTGTTGATCTTAGAGCCTGTGCTGTTGGTGTTCTGTTCAGTAAGTTGTCTCTTGTGCCAGTGAGTTCAAGGCTCTTCCCAATTTTTTTTCCAGTAGATTTAATGTGTCTGGTTTCATGTTGAGGTCATTGATCCCCTTGGACTTTAGTTTTGTCCAGGGTAATAAATATGGATCTATTTGCAGTTTTTCTTCATGTAGACATCCAGTTAAACGAGCAACATTTGTCGAAGGTGCTAGCTTTTTTCCCTTGTATGGTTTTGGCTGCTTTGTCAACAAATAAGTATCAATAGGTGTGTGGGTTTATTTCTGGGTGTTCTATTCAATTCCATTGGTCCACCATTCTGTTTCTCTGCCAGTTATATGATTATTATTGCTCTGTTGTACAGCTTGAGATCAGGGATGGAGATACCTCCAGAAGATTTGTTGTTGTACAGGATTCTTTTAGCAATTCTGGCTTTTTTGTTTTTCTATGAAAAACAAAATTCTATGAAATTGAGGATTTTCCTTTCAAGTTCTGTAAAGAATTGTATTGGTATTTTGATGGGAATTGCATTGAATTTGTAGATTGCTTTTGGCAGGATGGCCATTTTCACTATGTTAATCCTACTGATATGTGAGCATGGTTGATCTTTCCATATATTCTTCAATTTCTTTCTTCAAAGGCTTGAAGTTTTTTCAAACAGGTCTTTCACTTGCCTGGTTAGAGTCACACCAAGGTACTTTATGTTATTATTGGCTATTGTGAAAGGTATAGTTTCCCGTTTCTTTCTCAGTCCTTTTGTCTTTCGTATACACGAGGGCTACTGATTTTTTTTTTGGGGGGGGGTTAATTTTGTATCCCGCCACTTTGCTGAAGTTGTTTATCAGCTGAAGGAGTTCTCTATGCAGTCATATTATCTGAAAATGGTGATGCTTTGACTTCTTCCTTTCTGATTTGTCTCCCCTTGATCTCCTTTAGAAGTCTTATTGCTCTAGCTAGGACTTCAAGTACTATGTTGAGGAGATACAGAGAGTGGGCAGCCTTCTTTTGTCCCTGATTTCAGTGGATTGATTTAAGTGTCTTTCTGTTTAGTTTGATGTTGGCTATAGGCTTGCTGTATATTATCTTTACTATGTTTAGGTAAGTGCCTTGTATCCCTGATCTGTCTGAGACTTTAAACATGAATTTTGTCAAATGCTTTTTCAACTCTAAGGAGATGATCATGTGGTTTTTCTTCTTCTGGTGGGTTATATTGATGGATTTCCATATATTGAACCACCCCTGCATGCCTGGGATGAAGCCTACTTGGTCATGGTGGATGATATCTTTTATGTGTTCTTGGATTCAGTTCGCAAGTATTTTTTTTAAGTATCAATGTTTATAAGAGAGCTAGGTCTAAAGTTCTCTCTTTTTTTGTTGGGTCTTTGTGTGGTTTAGGTATCAAGATGACTGTAGCCTTATAGAATGCATTTGGTAATGTTCCTTCTGTTTCTATTTTGTGGAATAGTTTGAAGAGAAATGGAGTTACCTCTTCTTTGAAAGTCTGTTAGAATTCTGCACTGAAACCACCTGCCCTCTGTTTTTATTAGAAGGGAGAGTTTTGATGACTGCTTCTATTTCCTTGGGGCATATAGGACTATTTAATCTATTTACCTGATCTTGATTTAATTTTGGTAAATGGAATCTATCAAGAAAACTGTCAGGAGGGAGTGTGGGGTTGGGGAGGGAATGAGGGAGCGGGATACAGCTGGGACACAGAGTTAACAAAATGTAACTAAAAAGAAAAATAAAATAAAAAAAATAAAAAAAAAGAAAGAAAACTGTCCATTTCATTTAGATTTTCAAATTGTGTGGCATATAGGCTTTTGTAGTAAGACCTAATAATTGGTTGGATTTCCTGTGTCTGTCGTTATGGCTGCCTTTTCATTTCTGATTTTGTTGATTTGGATAGTTTATCTCTACCTTTTAGTTAGTTTGGCTAAGGGTTTGTCTATCTTGTTGCTTTTCTCAAAGAACCAGCTCTTAGTTTCACTGATTCTTTCAATTGTTTTCTTTGTCTCTAATTCATTGATTTCAGCTCTGAGTTTTATTATTTCCAATCTTTTAGTCCTCTTTTGTGTGTCTGCTCCATTTTTTCCCTAAGGCTTTTATTTGTGCTGTTAAGTTACTTGTATGAGAAGTCTCAAAATTCTTTCAAAAAATCTGAGCACAGGGATCTTTCCTGAGACTGCTATTCCAACCAAGGACTATGCATGGAGATAACCTAAGACCCCTGCACAGATGTAGTCCATGGCAGTTCAGTATCCAAGTGGGTTCCATTGTGATAGGAACAGGGACTGTCTCTGACATGAACTGATTGGCCTGCTCTTTAATTGCCTCCCCCTGAGGGGGAAGCAGCATTACCAGGCCACAGAAGAGGACAAGGCAGCCACTCCTGATGAGATCTAATTGACTAGGATCAGAAGAAAGGAAAAGAAGACCTCCCCTATCAATGGACTTGGGGAGGGGCATGCATGCAGAGGGTGGAGGAAGGGAGGGATTGGGACAGAAGGAAGGACGGTACCACGGGGGGGGGGGATACAAAGTGAGTAAAGTGTAATTAATAAAGAAAAATAAAATAATAAAAAAAGCAAAAAAATTCTTTCTGGAGGTACTTAGTTCTATGAAATTTCCTCTTAGCACTGCTTTCATTGTGTCCCATAAATTGGGTAAGTTGTGCCTTCATTTTCATTGAATTTTATGAAGTCTTTCTCTTTTTTCATTTCTTCCCTGACCCAGGTGTTATTGAGTAGAAAGTTGTTTAGTTTCCATGTGTATGTAGGCTTTTTGTTATTTCTGTTTTTGTTGAGGTCTAATTTTAGGCCATGATGATCTGCTAGGATACAAGGGATTATTTCAATCTTCTTATATCTGTTGAAGCTTGCTTTGTGCCCGACTATATGGTCAATTTTCGAGAAGGTTCCACTAGGTGCAGAGAAGAAGTTGCACTCTTTTGAGTTTGGGTGAAAAGTTCTGTAGACATCTATTAGGTCCATTTGAATTAGGGCCTCTGTAAGTGCCATTATTTCACTATTTAGCTCCTGTCTATATGATCTCTCCATTGGTGAAAGTGGAGTGTTGAAATCTCCCACTATTAAGGTGTTGGGATAGATGGGTTATTTAAACTTTAATAATGTTTCACTTAAAAATGAAGGTGCTTTTGGACTTCCTCCTTTCTTCTTTCTTTCTTTCTTTCTTTCTTTCTTTCTTTCTTTCTTTCTTTCTTTCTTTCTTTCTTCTTCATTTTCTTTTTCTTTAGCTTGATACATCCTCATAGGAACATGTGTAAGGGGTTGTTTTCTCTCTCTTGAACAAGCACACACACACATACACATACACATACACATACACACTGTTCTTATGAGTATGACTTAAGAATGATCACTTGGGATTGTTCATTTTATCGGGGCTTGTCACAAGATGAGACTTATTCTCACTCTCTCTCAATAGCCACTAATTGTCTGTAGTTCTTCATCTAAGGGTGAGGCCTTATGAAAACTTTCCTATCCATGTTGAACCTTTACAGTAAAATGAACATACTTTTCTAAATTTTGTGCTATCTAAAATAGATGATAGGCATCTACAACTCAACCATCAAGTGGATTATTCATATAAAGTATAGACTCTAGAATATCTTAATTTGGTGGGTATATATGTGTCAGGTACAACAAGGTTGGGAAAGCAGCTGCTTGACATGGTTCCAGTTGCTGGAAGCACTGTTGCCCTGGAGAAAATATCTCTGGATTATGAGTCCACAAAGGCAGTGATTTTTCCTATGTCTGCCTGTTTTGTTTCTTAATGTGACTTCATCTTTTTTCTCTAATTCAACCCTTGTCAATGCAACTGGTAAGATTTCTAGGAGGACTGACAGAGCAGGAAATGTCTCAGAAACAACCACTGTGGAAGAAGCATTCCCCTTGGCTGTAAAGGCAGCAACCCCTGAAATATCTGAACAAGAAATTGAATGCATGGATGCCTTTGTGATAATTGCTCCCTGAAAATCCTTAGTCAGCTCCTGGATATCAAATGATATAAGGAATTGTTTGAATTTCCACACTTACCCCAAGATTGCTCCATTCAGAAAGGAATTAGACCCAAGAGAAACTACTGGATTCAGACTAACTTCTGTTTCTAGAAAGACTTGGTCACATGGCTATGACATCCTGGGATAAGATGAGGTGATTGTAGGAACTTTGTATAGTTTATGAGGAAGTGGCTAGAGATGTTCTTCAAGGTTACTCCTATTACAAAACGTGTGTAGAAAGACCTCAGAAAGGACTTGCTCAGCTATAAGCAGCAGCTGAGATTTAAGACACATCTAGTTTGTTTAGCACCTCTTTGTTCTTATGCCACTTATTGTAACTGCAAGATTTTCCCCAGATGACTTATGATGTAGAGGTGGTTTGTCTGAAAAAAAAAAAAAAACACTGAGTTAATGATTAAATATGCTTGCTTGCTTGCAGTGTAATCACTGTATTCTGTATGTACAGCTTGCTATATTCTGTTCTTTCAGTTTTTGGGTACAGTCACTGTACCATGTATGTGGAGTACAGCATGCTATATTTTGTTTATTCTTATCTGTGGGTCTTTGGGAAAAAGCCAATATTCTGGGGAAAGAAAAAAAAGGTTTTGATAATGTTGAAAAAATGTCTAATGAAATGATTTAGTAATTAAATACTGGGATTTATTCTCTTTTCCAAGAGAAAAGAAAGAAGAAGGAGGAAAAAAATGAGCAGACACCGGAGAGATGGCCTCCCAAGAACAATCTCTTGAAATGAGTCATCCCTCAGCTTGTAGCTGCCCCCTTCTGTGAAGATATTTTTCTCTCAAGCTCATCCATTCCTCCCAGTCTTGAGACCCACAATAGGCTGAGGCTGTTCTCCGGCACATATGAGCCTCAACTTCATTAGAACTTTCGTGCATAAAGTTTATTTCACCTATATTATTTTTAGGTAATTATTTTCCTGTGGTTGTACCCTGTTATCAGGGTCCTAGAGTACCATAACATTAAATGCTAGGTTGCAGCAGGTGCTCTTCAGCAACATAAATTTTCTGTCTGTTGCTCAACTGACATGAAGGAAAATAGTGTTTTACCAAATTCTTCAACTGGATCCAAGGCTTTAGAGAAGTATGGGCTTATGTTGTGGGTATGACTGCCCATTATATTTCACCAGAAGCATCTGCTTTATCTATTGAATGAGCAGGCTGTTTTTCCCCACCACCCACATCTCCAACCATTTAGGGAGTCAAGGCTTGACAAACTGAGGTGCAGCTTTGCACTTTGTGCTGAGTTAGCCCTCTGTTTCTCTGCACTTTTTTGGTGTATTATCATATCATCTCTGAATTCTGATGCTCTTTCAAGAAAATTTTGTCTCTTTAGAATAAGAGCTAACATCTCTTTAGAGATGAATAGAATAGAATAACATCTATTCTTGAAATTTATTTACCATATACAGGAGATCTTAATCTACCATCTGCATCCATTCCTTATTGATTGCTAACAATGACACATTTTATTTCACATGAGAATATGGTATGCCAGGTACATAAAAGCAAAAAAAAATGATTGAGCTTATAGAATATTAAGAGTTAATGTTGAAAGCAAAAAACACTGGGTGCAGAACGGTGATACTGATGACCAGGTAAGGGGTTAAAGAACACAGATACAGGGCTGCCAAAGAATAGAACAGTCAGGCACAAATCCACTTGGCAGCAAATTTTGAATGTCAGTTTGGCATATCATCTTGAAGTGGACCATGTATCCTGGGGAGGAGAACTATGCTTGACCTGAGACTCAGGGACAGCCAGAAATTTATGCTCAGGTGACCTTCCTGAAAGAGTCCCCCAACAAATGTGAACTTTACTCAGTGCTCTGAACTTTCCTCAGGCCAAGTCCTCTTCTATAGTCTTAGGTGAGGAAGTTATTATTGGATTACTGATTATTGATCAGTTCACCATCTGTAATTTCAGATATGTCTTGGAATATTCAGAACAGAATTTTTATTGATATATTGCTCCTGTGGCAGATCATGGTTAGTTTTTGTTTTTTGCAAAACGCAGTAGAATCAACAGATGGGACTACATGAGATTTAAAATGTTTATGTAGCTGGGCACATTTCTGTAATTCCAGCACTTGGGAAGAGAGAGGCAGGCAGATCTCTATGAGTTCGAGGCCAGCCTAGTCTACAAGGTGAGTCCAGGACAGCAAAGACTACAGGGTTTTTTGGAACCCTGTCTCAAAAAACCAAGGCAAAACAAAACAAAGTTTATGTACAGTGAAAACAGAACAAAAACCAAAAACTACCTATCAACAGATAAAAAGGATTACAGAATGGTGAAAATCTTTATCAGCTATACTTCAGACAGGGGGCTGAATTTATAAATAATAGCAATAAATAAATACCAAGGAAACAAAATTGCCAATGGACAAATGGGCTAATAAAATGAATAGATATTCTCAATGTTCAAATAAACTTACTGCAAGATATTATCTTATATCTTACTCCTGGTAGAATGACTGTCATTAAGCAATCTTGCAAAACATGTAGCAAAACATATATGGAAAGGAGGATGCTTATTTACTCTTGGAAATTAATGAAGGTGTTGTGTAAATTAACTTGGAAGTTCTTCAAAAAATCAAAAGTGAAACATGATAGAGCTATGCCACTTATAGGCATGCACTGCAATACCTTTATAACTTACCCTAGCAACAGCTGTACATCCATGTTTATTTCTGCTCCACTCACAATAGCAAGAAAACGATTTGCATTTCCCTGATGGCTAAGGACGTTGAACATTTCTTTAAGTATTTCTCTGCCATTTGATATTCCTCTACCGAGAATTCTCTGTTTAGCTCTGTACCCCATTTTTAAATTGGATTACTTGATTTGTTGCTGTTTAACTTCTTGAGTTCTTTATATATATTCTGGATATTAGCCCTCTGTCACATATAGGGTTGGTGAAGATCCTTTCTCTATCTGTAGGCTGTTGTTTTGTTCTGATGAGTGTCCTTTGCTTTACAAAAGCTTTTCAGTTTCATGAGGTCCCATTTATTGGTCTAACATCCAGTTAGACCAGCACCATTTGTTGAAGATGTTATCTTTTTTCCATTGTGTGGTTTTGGCATCTTTGTCAAAAATCAGGGGCCAAAAGTGTGTAGGTTTTCTAGGTCTTCTTTTTGATGTCATTTATCTACCGGTCTGTTCCTATGTCAGTACCACACAGTTTTTCTTACTGTTGCTCTATAGTACAGCTTGAGATCAAGGAGGGAGATACCTCCAGAAACTCTTTTATTGTAGTGGATTCTTTTCACAATTAAGGGTTTCTTGTTATTTCATATGAAGTTGATACTTTTTCTGGGTCTGTAAAGAACTGTAACTGGATGTTTATATGCAGAAAAATGAAAATAGATCCATATTTATCACCCTGCACAAAACTAAAGTCCAAGTGGATCAAAGACCTCAACATAAAACCAAACACACTAAATCAGTGAGAAGAAAAAATGGTGAAGAGCCTAGAACTCATTGGCACAAGAGACAACTTCCTGAATAGAACACCAACAGCACAGGCTCTAAGAGCAACAATCAATAAATGGGACCTCATGAAACTGAAAAGCTTCTGTAAAGCAAAGGACACTGTCGTCAGAACAAAACGACAGCCTACAGACTGGGAAAGGATCTTCACCAACCCTATATCTGACAGAGGGCTAATATTAAAAATATATAAAGAACTCATGAAGTTAAAAATCAACAAAGAAAGTAATCCATTTTTTAATTGGACTGTCTCTGACATGAACTCAGTGGCTGGCTCTTTGATCACCTCCCCTTGAATGGGGAGGAGCCTTGCCAGGCCACAGAGGAGGACAATGCAGCCAGCCCTAATGAGACCTGGTAAACTAGGGTCAAAGTGAAGGGGACCTTAGTGGACTTGGAGAGAGGCTTGGGAGGAAAGAATGAAGGGAGAATGGGATTGGGAGGGAATGACATATGGGGCTGCAGCTGGGATACAAAGTGAATAAACTGTAATTAATATAGAAATTTAAAAAGAAATAAAAAATAGGAAGAAAATGGAATAAGCTTCAGTGTTCATCAACAGCTGAATGGATAATAAAATATGGTGCAATATACATCTGGAATATTATTTAACTGTAAAGGAAAATGAAATAATGAAACTTGAAAAACGCATGAACAGAAGAAGTATAATATGTGTCTAATATCCACTTTTGAGTGTGTATCTACCCTGTGTGACTTTCTGATTCTGGGATACCTCACTCAGGATGATCTTTTCCAGTTCCTACCATTTACCTGGAAATTTCATGAATTCCTTGTTTTTTATTGCTGAGTAATATTTCATTGTGTAGATGTACTACAATTTCTGTATCCATTCCTCAGTTGCGGGGCATCTGGGCTGTTTCTAGCTTCTGGCTATTACAAATAAATATAGACATAGTTGAGCAAATGTCCTTGTAGTGTACTTGAACATCTTTTGGATATATGCCTAGGAGTGATATAACATATAATATAGGATAAACCTACTGAAGTCTATACACCTAAAGAAACTAAGCAAGAAGGAGGACTCTGGCTAAAATGCTCAATCCCCATTCAGAAAGGCAAAGAGGATGGACATCAGAGAAGGGAGAAAACACGGAACAGGACAGGAGCCTACCACAGAGGGCCTCTGAAAGGCTCTACCCTGCAGGATATCAAAGCAGATGCTGAGACTTATGACCAGCCTCAGGGCAGAGTGCAGGGAATCTTATGAAAGAAGTGGACGATAGTAAGACCTGGAAAGGACAGGACCTCTACAAGGACAGCAACAGGTCCAAAAAGTCTGGGCACAGGGGTCTTTTCTGAAACTGATACTCCAGCCAAAGACCACTCATGGAGATGGCCTGGAACCCCTGCATAGAGGTAGCCCATGGCAGTTCAGTGTCCAAGTCTTCATAGTTAATGGGGCAGGGACTGTTTCTGATGTGAACTGATTGGCCTGCTTTTGGATCACCTCCCCCCTGAGGGTGGAGCAGTCTTATCAGGGAACAGAGGAAGACAATGCAGCCAATCCTGATGAGACCTGATAGACTAGGACCAGAGGGAAGGGGAGGAAGACTTCTCCTATCAGTGGTCTTGGGGAGGGGCGTGGGTAGAGAAGGGGGAGGCAGGGTGGGATTGGGAGGGGAGGAGGGAGAGAACTACAGGGGGAATACAAAGTGAATAAAATGTAAATAATAAAAATTAAAATAAAAAGAAGTATAATATAAAATGATGTGATCCATATTTAGAAAGAAAAATAAAACAGCATATTTTCCCTCATATTTTGTTTCTAGCCATGATGTATATATCCATATGTGTCAATGAGGATACAGATAGGTAATGTCTAAAAATTAAAAAAAAAAAGACCTAGATAGATGATGAGAAAAAAACAGAATAAAGGTAAAAGACATATAAATCATAATATAGTATATAAAATTGTTTTTCCTAATTTCAATTCCTTTATAGTCACACCTCATGGTGGATATTTGAATTCAATTTTCTGTGCATTTAAGAAGTAATAAATATTTTCACATTCTAATGAATATAATATGTAAAGTTTGATTTTCTCTTAATTCCACTGTCCATTAGTGCAATAGGAATTAGATACATGAATCATAAAAAAAGTATAAAAAGCTATTTTCTCCTAATTTCAGTTTTATTATAGTCAACTCTCCCCCCAGGGGGTATGTTAATTCAACTTTACTGAATTAGTGAGTATATTTCCCATATTGATCCATTTAGAACAAATGATTTTTAAAAAAGTTCTAAGGTGATGGCTTTTTTTTTTAACTGAAAATTTCCCTTTTTGCTTAAAGCCATATCGAATCATTCTATTGCCATGTTATTTAATATATCATTTTTATTGATATATCTAAAGTATGGTTAAAAGGTTTAAGTAATATTTTAACATGTC